TAAATACATGGTGCCAAAATAACAAGTTAAATTGAATTCAATCAAATGTGCCGTAATAACATAATCTAACAAATATGTGCAATTAATTATTAGATGTTACCAAAGTATTATGCATAAAGTGTACATATATTTTTATGTTATATGTTAGTATTCAAATTCAATATTAGTAGATTTTTAAGTTATAAAATTATTATTGTGATGTAAAATCTACTGTACATTGTGGATTGGCGTATATAAATATAATTAGTAAAAATAACTGAAAAATAAAAAATCTGCTATATATACTACATACCTTTTGGAGTTAATATATGCACTTTACTAAAACCATTTATTATGGAATCCAGTTTAGAATTGAACTCAACATCATCTTCTTCAGCACTTCGATAATCTTCTGACGAGCTGGATTCGTAACCATCTACAAAAGAATGTTGTTAAGCATAATTCCACACAATTATTTTCTTTTGTATCAATTAAATAGATATATACCTTGCAAATTCTGTGTTTGTCGTTGACCTTCAGCTTTTATTCCAAAAACATTTATATGTGGGGTATTCTGCAATAGAAATATATATTCTTTTATACTCACTGACATATAGAAATGCATTTCAATGAATAGATATACAATATGAACATGCTTAAATGATTTTAAAATCAGGCGTAGTATTTTAAATAAAATAGATAGACATTAAAAATAACGCCAAAAACCTTTCAAATTTGGCTGTTAAATCTACACAAGAATTGTCCAAACGTAAAACAATTTATTTATCTAATATCACGCAGTAGTCTTTAAATCAAACGTACCATGTTTTGCTGACTATTCACATCCTTGAGAACACTACGATATTTGTGATCCATTTTTAACCATACAAAAATAGATTCATTAACAAAAATAGAAAACTGATTTAACGTTTCAGGATTACTTGGGACACAAAACAATCATACTTTTAGTATTGCCATATGTCAAAGTTTTCAATTTGAAGCCATTGCTGCCAACATTATCATATAACTTTTGTATACAGCACACTTTTGTTTGAGGTTATCCCACTACTTGTTATTTGACTTTTATATCAATGTATTGTACATGTGCTTAATAGTATTTTTACCTTAAACAATTATCATTTTTGATCAAAAAGCCCCACAAGAAGGTAGTTCATCACGTGCTTCAATAGAAAGAGTGCATAAAATATTGTTTGATCATATTTCGATAATTGAAGGTATTTTGTACTAAAATGGTTTATTTTACCTGTAATAATTGTGGAGACTCTCTACAAAAGCCGAAAGTTCAAAAACACTACCAAACCGCATGTTCAAGAAATCCTATTAATCTCACCTGTGTTGATTGTCACAAGGATTTTGGGTAAGTCCGAATTAATACATTATCTTTTCATTGATGGTAATTTTTCATATTTAATGATTTTATTATCTTTTCATTGATGGTAATTTTTCATATTTAATGATTTCTATAGGGAAAAGGAATATGTAGCTCATGTTAAATGTGTAACAGAAATGGAAAGATACTCTGACAAAAGCTACGTTGCTAAAACCAATAAAGGTGAAGCCAAACAATCTTCTTGGATCGATGCTATTCAGTCTGTCATTAATGAATCGAACGCCAGGCCAGCCGTGAAGGAGGTTTTACAAAAACTAGCAACTTTTGAGAATGTTCCTAGAAAAAAAGCTAAATTTTTTAACTTTATGAAGAACTGTGCTGTAAGTCGAACGAAAGATGATGTACTGGAGGAAGTTTGGTCTCTTTTGGAGAAACAGAAAGATAAAATAAAGAAAGAACCTGAAACAAATAATAAAAATAGTAATGAAGAAGTATCAGAAAAATTAAATGGCTGCGAAGGAGAAAAAAATAATAAAAGAAAGTTAGAAAATGATGACTCTGACCATGTTAGCAAAGTGCATAAAATAGAAGAGAATGATACACCTACTAATGTAGATAATAAACTTGAGACTCCTGAAGAAAATTTAGTAGGTGATCAAAATGGCGATACTAAATCAAATGTGAAGTTTGAATGGAAGAAGGAAATTACTAATTGCTTGAATTCTAATGACAACGAGATCAGTATGAAATCATTACGTAAAAAGCTTGTTGAAAGCTATTTATTGACGGTAGATTTTGACAAATATTTTATGAAAAAACTTAACAAAATAAAGGGTGTGACAATTGAAAATAACATTGTGAAACTAAATAAATAATAAATAGGATAATAAAAACTGATAAAACTTTTTATTATTCAGTATTTTGCGTTAGTGAGCAAAAATAAAATTAGTTTTGTAAATAACACTTTAAAAATAATATATTTGTTAATACAGATTTACAAAATTTTATCATACTACCTACCACTCATTCAAATCTTCTTCTACAACTTCAATACATAAATATAAATATGATTGATGCATGATAATCTTGGCAACAACCAAATAATGATTTAAAACAATGTCATATTACATAATATATGTTTTCATATAAAGTCCTATAGTTAAGTCTGATATCACAAAGTGAATTAATTAGTTTTTTATATCTATTTCTTTAGTCGTATTTCTTCTACAGCAGAGTATGATGTACTCCATTGCCCATGCCATGCCACACAGTATTATTAAAAATGTTTGCGAGTGCACACACCATGGGTAACTGCCCGTCATATCTCGAATAACACCTATAAAATAATAAAAAAGTCTTAGTTACAACACTCTTGGCTATAAATATTCACATTTTTTATAGTTTTACTCAAATCATTATTTAATTTTTCATCCAAAAACTTTCATTTCAACAATTTATATTTCATCACAATAAATTTCAAACTCTGGTCAAATTTTCAAAAACCATTTGTGCAGCTGAGTATGTATTAAGAAATTATTTGGATTAAAACTCAGTGTTTATTTACTATCTTGTGCAATTTTTTAGGAGTTAACCATATCTTAGTTATTAAAATCTGAATACAAATAATTATAATTTAATTTAAGCTAATACGCACCTAATAATGGTCCCAAAGCTACAACAAATAAACCCTTAGCCACCATGTGTAGTCCAAAAGCTGCAGGCAGCTTTTCCAATGAACAATGCTCTGATATAGTAAGTGTAAAGTTGCTTAAAGCCGCACCTCTGAAAAACCCGGATACTGATAACCAGGCCATGATTGGAATCCAAGCTGTTTGTTCTGCTAAAACTGTAAGATATGTCTTATTAGGGATATGCCTTGAGATAGTGCTTCATAAAAATATCTAGCATTTATTAAGTGACAAAAAAAAGATTGTATTTTATGATGTCCTGAACAAAGAGTCTCGAAGGACATGCAGAAGTGTTCGCACAAGATTTAATGTACGCTCACTCGCGATTTTTGTTAAATTGATTGCAAAAATAATCTATATACTTAACCATATAAATATTAAATCAAGTTTTGATTTTGAACTGATTTTATGTTATACATTAATTGAATAAAATATTGGATTTTACTTGTTCGAAATCTGCTTTGTTTAGTAGCCTAAAGATAATTTATTGCTTAAAAAATAAAAAAATGGCTAAATTCTGCTTTTGTATTCCGCGACGATAAACAAGCTGCTTCGTTAATAGAGAAGCAAACTTTTTCAACGTAAAATTTAATTTCTATATCTAATTAACAATAAATGATGTAGTACTAACTTGTTCTGATAAGTCCTAGTCCCAAGGATGAAATTAGGAAAACAAGTCGCCTGGACACGTTCAGCTTATCGAATATGGGTGGCAATGCAACTCGCGCTAATATATCAGATATAGCGGTCATAGATAGGCAATAGGCAACATCATTCTTATCGTAACCCAGGCTGTGCAGAAAGAACGGGGTAACCATTTTGAAGTTCTGCTCTGCGACGTAGAACAAGGATAGTCCCAGCAATATATTAAGAAAAACCCCATCTCTCAGCAGATTAAGATCCATCATTGACATGACCTTCTGCCAGACAGTGATCTGGTTGAGCGACTCTTGTGGTGGTTTAGTGGGCTGTTTTGTGATCACAGGTCGTGTTATCGTTTTCGGGTTGAAATAATTCACCGGTAGCCGCTGGTCTGACATATTTCGTTTGATGGAGGGCTGCTCTTTGGACATGGTCGTTAGGTGGCCTGCATGACTATAGACTCGGCGCATGATTTGGATTCCTTGATCGTCGTCATCGCTTTCGTTCACCTGAGAATTGCAAGGCGCCAATCGTTTCATGTTTTTCTCAGCGCTAACGAACGTGTGTTAGATGTACTAAATGCTTTTATAAGCCCGATTATTTATTTATATAAGATTCCTATTGAGATATTATAGTAGAAAAATTAGAAATATGGTGATAATAAATACGTTTTGGCTACGTTCTCACCTCGGACGTGATGTGCAGTGAGCTTCCAGTAAAATCCATGTGCGCGCTCAAGTTGGACATGACAGACGCTTTGCGGCGACGAGGGGGCACATTTCCTGCTATAGAAATCGCCGTTGGAATATTTCGCAGACCTCGTGATTCAGCTGAATGGGGCAACAGTGGAGATTGTAACGGTTTGTTCAGATCTTGTCCGGGGCTTAATGCCTGATCGCAGGATTCGTCGTCACTTTCCCTGATGGTACACATCTCCTGATGTACAATAGAAATATATCTGATTGTCTTAACAATAAATGATGTGCTTTTTCATGGCTTCAATAATCGTTAATTGAGAAATTTATTCTACCAACAACATTGGGCCAAATACTTAACAACAACAATTTAACTCTCACCTGAGCTCTGGCTTCTGGGTCTACTGGAGCGATTTTTAAATATCTTTTAACAGGCTGCAAAAGAGCGGATCCTACGACTGCGTGAAGCGCTACTCCTCCCAAAATCAGAAGCGCTCCGCTAAAACCATAGGCTTCTAGAAGTAATCTCACTGCCTAATAGAAAAATTATGTTTTAGTATGCATATACAATTAAGAACACGATCAATCATTTGATCATTTATGCAGAATCAAAACATAAAGGTAGACAGGGAAAGAACTTGAGGTCTTCTATTTTCTAGATTCATAATATTACACCATTTTGTTCCAACCTATCAATATTTTTGAAACTACTATTGTAATATAATACCTGTGGCATAGCCAACATTCCAACAGCCGCGCCAGCCATCGACAATCCTACAGCTTGTCCTCGTTTCTTTTGAAAGTAATGATTTAAAGCTACAAAAGTGGCAGATGAAGATAAACCAACACCTAGTCCTAAAATAAAACAAATATATAATTTTTTTCTGCTGTTATGAAGTTTTATAATATTTTGCTGCTCAAGACATTAGGTGCTTAAAACAATGGATGAGAAAATCAGCAAGAAGACAAACAACAGTACAAAGCTGCTAATATAAGATAATCAAGTTTCGTCTATATTTATGTAGATCTATTAATTACTCACCTCCAATAATACTGTATGTGGTAAGTATGTGTCCCATACTGGCGGCCGGCGCCGTTGCCATCAGTCCCAGAGCATAGAGAGCAGATCCCACAAGAGACACTTTTCGGAAGGAAAAACTCTGAATAAGTGGACCAACAAATATTCCAGAAAAATTGACGATAGAATCCAAAGTGCTGTTGATGATCGCAGCACCCGTTGTCTCAACGTTAAGGCGTTCTAGTAGATCACCAAATAGAAGACCGAATGAAGGCTCCAGTGCTCTGGTCGCTAGCTATAAAATGATAAAATTCTCTCAATGTTTTATTTTTGTCAAGAACTCTTCGTACAATAATCTACTAGAATGGTAGTAACACTCATAAAGCAACAATCGAGTAATCTTTTAAATTCTGTACCTGCCAACATAAATCTCAGCAAAATTGAAATTATCATTAACTTGTGACAATGATGTATCATTATTTTTTTATATAAACAAATTATGACTAGAATACATGATGCTTAAAATAGGGTATTTTTTGCAATTAGCATTAAAGAAATATTAATACAGCTAGTGGGGTATGGCATCGTGCCTTAAGGCAAATTGCTGGAACTTCCCGTACCAAAAATTTTTTTTTAAGAAAGATTAAACTTGTTCTAAACTTTGAAAAAATTAGATTTTTGAGAAATTTTAAACTTTTGAAAAAAAATGACTTTTTTGGAAAAAAATGTTTTTTTATTTTGATATATTTTGGCAATTTTGAACTTTTGTTAGAAACGCTCTTAAAAGTTGAGTTACCGTTTTTAGAACTTTTTGCCCCGTATCATCGAAACGGCTAGACCTGCCTATGCCAAAATCTAATCAGCACATCTCCTTATTAATAGGAATCGAATGTTTTTTGAATAATTGAAATCGGTTGAACCGTGTTCCCGAAATCGACGACAAAAATTTGTCATGCCAAAATGTTCAGAAACTCCTGAAACGTAAAGATATATAAGAATTTTTATTTTCGATTTTTTGCGATTACTATAACTTTTGCCCTACGTGAAGTTAAAAATGTTAATTCGATATAATATTAAAATATTTTTATAAACTTTTGTCAGAAAATCTGACCTTATTGAGAAAGCATGATGAAACTAATTTGGAACTGAGATAACAAAACTCTCAATGATATGTTAAAGATTGATTATTATTAAAATATTAATTAAATCAATATTTATTAGAAAAAAATTGAATATGCCTTCAAGTTTGTCTCAAAATTCGTTTTTCTCGAAACTATAGCACGACTCCGGAATCAAAAAATTCTTGACCATTTTGAAAGAACAAAAAATTGTATTGTGACACTAAGCTTTTATTACTTAATTCTCTTTGTATTTTTATTGCAACTCTCTTTCATTATTTATTAGTTTGAATTTGTCAAAAGAATTGAACAGCAAGGGAGCGAACTAGTAGGTAAGAGTTGCTCAATAGCTTTCCAAATAATTAATCAAATTATTTATTATCTATAGTATTTCAAAAGCACATAATGGATTTTTTATCAGAACACATGCTGGCAATGACTTATAAAGTACTTATCTTAAAATATTTACTACTCATCGATATCTATACAAACTGACACGATTCTACAAGGTCATTATTTATTACAAATATGGATTTTTCTACATTTGCAGTGATAACACGTTCGACATTTACCGGCAACTCAACAATAAAACAAACTAAAAATTTGCTTCAAACATCAATGATTCTCGAAAGAAGAAAGTGTGCAATATACGTCGGAATACAATTCAAAGTATATATTACCACGCCAATCCAGTTTGAAAGCTAAATTTGCTTACAT